GTGTGTGTGTGTACCTGCGTTATCTTCGTCATTGCCTTGCTTCTGTTTCTCTCTATCACCATCTTTGGGATCGACCGTTGTCTTGCTCAATTTAGGTGTGGTCACTGCAGCAGGGGGTGTGGTCATTACAGCAGTAGGTGTGGTTATTACAACACTAGGCGTGGTTATTGCAGCAGGATGTGTGGTTAATACAGCAGACGGCGGTGTTAATGACGTTGAACCAGTAAAAGCTATAGTCGAAGCCATTGGTGTGTTTGTTGATATCGTAGCAAATTCTAAAGTGGCGGGCGTGGTATTTACAGTGGCAGGCGTGGTTGTTGGTGTAGAAGGCGTGGACGTCGCAGAGGTAGGCGTGATTGGTACAGTGGTAGGCGTAGTTATTGCAGTACTTGGCGTGGTTATTGCAGTGGTAGGGGTGGCTGTCGGAGTGGTTGGCGTGGTTTTCGTAGTTGCAGGCTTCGTTGTCTTTGTCGTTTGTATGGTTGTTACAGATGACAAAGTGGTTGTATTGTTGACAAATGTAGTTGTGGCTGTGATGTGTGTGGATGCTGTAGTTGTAGGAGCGCTTGTGATGGGCGTCGATGTCATCGTTGATTGAGGGGTTGTGATCGGCGAGAATGACGTAGTTGATGGTGAGGTTGTGATAGTGGTAGACAGGGTTGTTGCACTGGTTGTCATGGTTGCAATATTGATAGGTGTTGCTGTGGTTGTAACGGGCATGGATGTCGTAGATGATGGAGTAGTTGCCTCAGTGGAAGGCAGAGTTGTTTCAGTGGTTGGCGTGGTTTCCATAGTTGTCGGAGAGGTGGTCTCAGCGTTAGGTGTGGTTGTGGAAGGCGTGGCTGTTGTAGTTGACGTAGGAATTGTCATAGTTGTAGGCGTGGCATCGGTAGAAGTAGGGATAACTGTAAACGTGGTAGTCGCGGTTGATGGAGTTGTTGTGATTTTGGTAGGCGTGGTTGCCATAGTTCTCGGAGTGGTTGTCGTTGTGGTAGGTGTGGCTGTTGTTGTCGGAGTGGTAGGCGTGGTAGTCGTTGTTAACGGGGGTGTAATCGTGGTGGTAGGCATATTTGCGGTAGTAGTAGGATTGGTCGTCGTAGAAGCAACTGTTGAAGACACAGTAGAAGAAGCTGCCTCTGAAGTAAGATGCCCAACGCAAGGCTCACCTTCGATAGTCACATCATCAACTGCAATGTCACTTAGATAACTACCAGGTCGTTTTGCCACAAATGCCAGACTAGTAGCTCCCACAGGTATGTCTACTGTGGCATTTTTCCAAGCGGGACCTTGATTATCTGTTTGAGAGATAAATGCATCTCTTAGCAACGTGCAGTAATAGAAAAAGTGCCACTCAATGAGCCCAGGCACAATTTGATTAAAAGGTTTTAAAAGAGAACCAAACTGCGGTGGAATGTGTTATCTATTTTCTTTAACATTTGCACCTTATCTCAGATTGGATACAGAAATATAAGTATACATCAATATGTTATTGCTATAATTTTGATTATCTTTCTATATTTGAAAGACGGCATCTTTACACAATAATGAATGTAATAAAAGTTAAACTAACTCTCCATTGACCACAGAGTCTGAGTAACGCTCCCAGAGGAGTTCACAACAACCACCTTCAGGGACCCAACTACTGTTGGCTCTCCGAGAGCAGCATACATGTGGTAGTAGAAACGTAGACAGCAAGCATGCATCGTCTCCAACAATGGCGGGAAGAGTAACCAGGCTTCGGAATTAGGCAACACCCCACTTGCCTCCATGTATACATAATAACCAGCTGCAAGAGACACCAGGTCAAAAAGCATTAAGTTTACCGCGGTAAGACAATTAAAACGCAAATTCTCTTTTCATATTTATATAAATCGCTTATATGTTTGAATATTTAATCTTTTCATATGTTTGTGACTTTAATGAACACAACATTGGCTATTTCTGTAGCTTAATCCAAGTTCTATGACCGTGTACCGTCCTTTTCTAAAACATGAAAGCATGTAAACTGCTTTAGATGCTGGCAAGCTCCATTTTAGTAAATGAGGATCAGGGCCTCTAAATCATGAGATTAAGTTATATTCTCGGGCACATAACAACGACGAATGAACAGGTATTAATGTTAATACGTGTACTACCAGGATGTTTCGTACCTCCAGTAGTGTGGTCACCAGCTGGCCTCGTCCTACTACTGGGGGTTTCACCTTTGTACCTTATCCATTCTGCCTGGCTGCGTTCGGATTAACTTAAAGCCTATACTTTTTAAGCTTATTAGCTAGTCAATCAGCTAAGTAAAATCTCATTTGAGTTTGATAACCCATAAGAGTATTTGTGGCTTAAATGTAATGAATCTCGTAGTACTGTGGATTTAAAAGTATATGCAAATGCAGATGGCTTCATTCATATTATCTAATACATGATATTATTACCATAAAATACTATGGTGTATTCGAGCTAAGATAAACCTCAATATTGACAAATGACGTAATGGAAGCTTTGAGACAAACGCATCATAAATCAGACAACTGAGAGTAAAGAAACATTTATACATCATTAATCAGACAGCATCAAGGCTGGATTGCAGTGCTGTTGTAATTTTTAATGTTATCTTGGAGGACATTAACATATCAAATTATATACACTAGTATCAGATGTCGATCAATATGTATATAATATAAAACATGATAATGCTTCTAGCCAACGTCAAGTATCGTAAAGCAATACATTGTATATATCTACATACCTCCCGTGGTATGATCTCCATTGGGCCCGGTGTTGGAACTAGGTGTGTTTCCACTGTGTCTCAGCCATTCTGCTTTACTGTGGTTCCTGTCGTATGTAAAGTTACATATGGACGGCTCTTCGAATGTGCAGTTTACCAGCACTTTTTGGGAAGGTGAAGACTGTTGGACTGATAACTCTGGAACATGGATAAAATGTGATCATCATTTTTCATTACAGATATATACGTGTGTGTGTGTGTGTGTGTGTGTTTGTGTGTGTGTGTGTGTGTTCGTACGCACGCGTGCATGCGTGCTTGTGCGTGCGTGCGTGTGTGCCTGCGTGTGTGCGTGTGCGTGCGTGCAGACCTTGTGTAATGACGGCATTATCTACGGAGAGGTTGGAATGTGTCAACCTTGTTGACCCATTTGAACTCAAGTAGAGATTGTTTGTCACTGAGACATGGGAATAGGTAAACAACAACAGGAGTGAAAATTTACCTTCATCGATCCGAGTCACATTGTCTGAAGTCTCCTCAAATCCAATCCAAGTCTCTCTTATATACTAATTCTGCAAGTTTATTTATGGAATTGATTCATTAGATATTGCTTGATTAAACACAGTTCCGGAATTATCTGATGTAATGCTTTTGATATACACCTGAATATCAAGGTGGAATAAATTCATAAATATAGATTTAGGACATACCCAGGGTGGGAGGTCACAAATTACATATGACGTACCTTTTAACGCAACTGTCCCCGTGCAATCTGCTGGTACACCCTCTCATTAGATAAATTTGTCCTCGAATTTGTCATTAGGATAACGATTGGCTTTTTATAAATAATTATTAATACATGTATATTTTTCATTAATATGTTGTCTTCGTTCACTTAGTTAATTATTTGTTTTATTTTGCAAAAAAAAATCAGAAATTCATTAACAAGAACATTCAGATACTATTTCTCATTTTGTCACCTAGTTTAGTAAAATTGTGTCAACTCGACTCTTATCAAACTCTGCATGTTTCGCCTACACTTAATTGACTCCACTCGCATGCAGCTTGTCTCCGCAAAATCACTTAAGGTTTATAACGAAGCCAAGAAGGATCAGCATCCTTATCAGTAGAATATCACCAATCCATGGATTGAACAATTATACCCTATGGATTTGTTGATTTGTGACATGAATAACTGGCTAGTAGACTATTCAATGATGAATCACTACTATCCTCTGAATTACGAACCCCAGTCTAGCAATCATTCTGACAACTGAATAATGTTATCCAGTGTTGATGGAACTAGTAGCAGGTTAATTTACACTCTGAGAGCACCATATCTGTGCACAATGTAACAACTAAATCACCCCACCCACCGGTGGCCTACCTTTATCAGGATTTTCCTGTATAGTATTGTAACTTGTCTAGGGTTGGATCAAATAAAGGATATCATGGAACAGGTGAAAATTACGGATGTAAAACCTCAATCTTTATTGAACAGAAAAAATCAATGTATCAAAAAAAATAAATTAACCATTACCGTAGGAAAAAACTTTACTGTAGGATCAAGCCCTAAGCTTTGAACTATACGCCCATGGATTATTGGTCTGATGCTATTCAATATAATCAACTTTGTTCATTTTTTAGATCTTGACTTATTCACTCCTGTGTTAGGTGACCTTGCGAGCAAGTTTATCAGAATGTATTTCTTAAAATTTAGTTGAAATTATTCACTTGTTCATCATAAACACCAAATAACCGACAGGATTAATTTTAAGCAATAGCTGTCTCGAAATTCGACAGTAAGTTTATAGCAGGGAAACGATATTCACCATAATCCAAATATACTATTACCATCACAAGGATGGCCTCTGCTCTACTTGTCAAATTACTATAGGAGCCTGAATTGCGGAACCGTTTCTCTTTCTTCTGTTACATGGAGATTTAAGTGCGGATTGAGTGCAGGGTGTTTTCTTTTCTGAAGAAACGCGAAAACCATGAATTTTTAGATGTTTGTAGATTTCCTCCTGGCCATATGGAAATTAATTCATTTTTACATGTAGATACAGACGTGCTTTTACTTTCATTTACACATCGTAATATTTAAAATGTCACTTACCTATTGTAAATATCAACAATACGAAGTAATATACCGCGGAAAATATTTCTGGTCTAGTCATGTTTTACACAGCTGAATGATAAATATCCACAGGCGATATGTCAAGGTTTGAGGAACAAGAAAAAACTTTCCTTGCGATCTTTCGTTAATATTGGTAAATATTAGCACGGATAAAGACTTCATTGATTGGCTATTTGTTTATCTCAAGCCAACTTGACCTTCCGTCGTATTAACGTGCTTTCCAGTTAGTGATAAGTTCACGTGCCAACTTTATAATGATTTATAATGATTTATAATGGTTGCACCCGTCGCTGTTTGAGATTAATAACTCGGCCGAAGGTAAGTTATGGATTCAACAATTGTTAGAAATATTTTATATATGTTGCGTTTTTTTTTTTTCTGGCAAGAAAAAGTTTGGTTCGCTTTTGAGATAGCGCATAGCACGGACTGTGGTGGTACATGAAGCGTTGAGGAGCTTTACATTGAATTCTGATTGTAATCTTTGAAGGATTTAAAACAATATGCTTGGCAACGATGTCCACTTAATATGTTATAGTGGCTTACCGGTAGATATCACATTAGAAGTATAGTATAGTTGTTAGGACATCACTACGTATAAGACGGAACCACAGTAAAATCAAATATTGGTAAATTTACCTGGCAAGTGACCGCGGTTAAGTTTAGGGTGGCACTTTTAGGGGTGCATATAATCTTGATACACGTATTGAGCATAAATGATATCTATACTAGGTGAAAAATATTTTACTGATTTCATAAAAAGAAATTCCCTGTGTAACTGAAATGAGTTCATATAATACAGCTGGTTTAGGGAAGCGGCATAATTTGCCTATAACGTATTAAACAATAGCATGGCTTCGGTTAAGGGATTTTTTTTAGGATTGGTACAGGTAGAAAAATTTCTATTAAAACTAAAATTTTAGTTAGAACTAAAAATAAAGTAACAAATGAAGGAAAAATATTCGTGAGTATATGTGCTTACAAACTAACAGGTATAATTATGTATGATGAAAATTAATACAGTAGATGTATAATGCAATACGTGGATTTTGTAAAAAATTCGGAAAATTCAGTCCAAAAAAAATATTTTTAGAAATAACACGTAAAATCCCGGGAAGACCAGAACGACCTAATGGACGTTTGATATCGTTTATATACGTGAACGCATCGTGATCTGTAGGCCTGCGTGTACAGTAAATATGTAAAAAGATAGAG